AAAAACCACTGTATTTGTGATAATATTGAACTGTAATGTAGACTATGCGCTACTGCTAGATATACTTCATGCCTTACAATTACCACATTGACTAGCTACCTAGCCCAGCACACAAGGCTTTTTGATTTTTCTTAAATATGCAAGTTCTCACATCAGAGCCTCCAGGTAAGTACAAACATCAACCTATTTCAAAAGTTTTAAGATTCTTGGGCCCTTATAACTGGTTGAACGGAAAGCTTTAGTTAAGAAGCAGATGAACTGATCACAGCACCTCTCATAGCTGCAGCATCCCTCTCCAATGAACAGAAGAAATCACAATCTCTAGAATAGGAAATTTAGTAATCAAAAGGCAAAACACAATTCCTTAGTGTACAGCTGTCAAACCATTATGATATGGCTGTGTGAAATGGTGAAAAGGGCCTTGTTTAGAAACACACATGATAAGGGTACAAGCTCTTCCAAAACGACAGTGACTGCACAAGCAGACTGAGAACAAACTTGACAGTTTTTATTCTTCCACAGGAGTACAAAGGTAAGATCAGCTTAATTTATCACACAGTTGTTAAACTTGACATTTAGAAGCAGCAGTACTGCCTTTGTATCTGAACAAGAACATGCAATGGTGCACATCTTGAGCTAGCTAAATGAGCCGTCGTTTTGCTGGGATTTTAGCTTGGAAACGGCTTTCCAAAAAAAAAAAAATGGGGGCATGCCTAGACACACATCTCAGTGCTATAAATATAGAAATGCCACAGTGACACAATATCAGAAACAAAAATGTCTTTCTTCTATTTTCAGTATGGAAAATATATTTTTGAAAAATCAAATTATATTAGTTGCATTCTCTGCTTTAATTAGCTATCATTCTGACAGAAAAACATCATGTAGCACTCAGTTTAAAATTTAAGTACAGCAATAATAATTCTAAAGCCACAGATAAGGTCCAGTGGACTTGGAATTGAATTAAAAAGAACAATCCAACATTGAATCTTTTCCATGGGGCATAAAACCATATTCACTGCCAGAACTACTGCTTAGAAGATAACTACTAAAAGGCCTAAGATAATGTTGCAAACTCCAAAAATAGTGCACAATTCAGACAATGCTCCAAAAGTCACTATCTCACTATCTCTTTTATTTTCTGACTTACTAGAATAGGAGCAAGGGACTTCTATTTGTGTACCAAAAGACTCAGTTTCAGAGGAGGGTCCTAGAAAGTATAACTCTCTGCTACTCAGAGGATTATGATGATAATAGGTGGTAAGGTAGAAACATCTCTGAAAGATGTTTACCTCCAAAAGGCACAAGCTCGGTGTTAGGAAGCTGCAAAACACCTTCACTGGAGGGAGAAGCAACAATCTTTTTCCCCTTTCGCATAAAAACATTACGCACAACAAGCAATGGATTTTCTCATAGACGCTTTCAAGCTTGGTGCTTCTCTCATCAAAAATAGTGTAGGCAGGAAGACCAGGGAAGAGATCATCCCCTTGTACACAGCACTGGTGAGACTGCACCTTGAATACTGTGTTCAGTCTTGGGCCCCCTCACTACAGGAAGGATAGCGCGTTGCTCAAGCATGTACAGGGAACAGCACTGAAGCTGGTGATGGGAGAAGAGAAATGTCTGAGCCCCCCAGAACTGGGGATGTTCAGTCTAGAGAAGAGGAGACTGAGGGGAGACCTCACTGCTCCCTACAACTACCTGAAAGGAGGCTGTAACAAGGAGGGTGTCTGTCTCTCTTTGCAGGTGAGAAGTGATAGGATGCAAGGAAATGGTCTCAAGTTGCACCAGGGAAGATTAAAATTGGACGTAGGAAGAATTTCTTCACAGAGACAGTGGTCAGGCATTGTTATGGACTTCCCAAAGAAGTGGACACATCACCATCGCTGGAGGTATTTGAGACATGAATGTGGCACTGAAGGATGTGTTTTAGTGATGGGACAGCAGGTCAGGTTGATAGGTGGACTTCATGATCTTGAAGGTCTTTTCCAACCTAGACAATTCTATTATTCTCTACTTTTGAGAATAAACTTCCTTCAAATTTTCATTCAATTTTGGTAGCCTTCACTGTTCTAATATGGGAACAAAACAAAGCATTCAAATAGGCATATATGCTCACATGTTATTGTCTGTTCTGGGAACTGCTCGGAGTAATTTTTAGAGACCTATATAGGATTTCCATACAATTTTAGCGGAGTTCTGGCCTATGAATCACATAACATCTCAAAATAACTGCTTTTGTTTTGTTTTTAAGCTCATTGCCGCTGTGAGCTTCTGCAAGACTAAAACTTTCCTGAAGTCAACCCATTTCTACCCCAGTGCAACTATAGCAGCACAGTTGTTCGGACAAGAAATAGAAGCCCATCCATTGTTAACATCAGTACTTTTGACTAGTGGCACTATGCTGACAAAAAAAATATCAGTCTCCCCATTTAAATCCTTAGTTTGCGACTTCAGTGATTCATTAATGGTTCTTGTAACACTGCAAAGCCAGGCACTTTCTAACACTGACCACTTCTCTGTTCTTAAGAAAAGAGTCACCTTCCCATCTTCTGGTAAATTAAATTAACCACAGTTAATGTAACAGCTATATAAATGTCTGTACAGGACAATTTTAGATATTAGCATCACAATTTAACAAGGCCAGATCCTTTAGAGATATTGAAGTGTGTTGGTTTTGTGGTTGTTGTTTTTGTTGTTTTTTTATATATATATATACACATTGTTTACTCAATACACCATGGGCTAAAGTAGGCTTACAAAAACACATATAAGAAGTCTGCAGTATAACCAAATTTTTGAATTCCACATTGAAAAAAATGTATTAGATCTTCATTTTCTGCACCTCAGCTGATAGCCTTCCTCCATTTTAGTTCCTGATCATTTTAAAATCATACATAATTTAAAATTAAGGCAGATCCCAAGCTGAGCAGAGATCAAAATAAGAAAAATCCCCTTTTCACTTCAACTAAATTTGTTTTAAAATACCAATATGGACATAACAGTTTTAGTTGTAATCTAGACACTTTTGATGCTAAATACTACAAATGCCTCTTAAGACAAACCCATAGAAGTGATATACTTTTAGAAAGGAATTGAGCTGAATGAGTCTTTTTCCTTCCAACTTCATATATCTACCCCAGTTTTGTAAACTGCGTAGCATGTTACATCACAGTGTTCTAGCTGTTTCCTGTTGTTTCTTACTTAGATTGTTGTTTTTTCTCTGAAAAGAAGGACTTAATTAAGACAAAACTTAAGATATTAATGCTTTGAGACCTAGTATTCCTATTTTGTCCCCCTTCCATTTTTAAGGCTATGTATTTCTGAACTGATGAGTCAGTGACTGTACTTCCACTCAGGAAGATTCCTCACTCTTAAAGAAGTGCTGTTTAGAATGCTTGCAACTGAGCTGAATGGCTACAGAAGACGAGCAGCAGAAGCTTACATACTCTTTAATCATAGAATCGTATCACGCAACAGCTCTTGTTGGAAGGAACCTTAAAGATCATCCAGTTCCAAAGCCCTGCCAAGGACAGGGACACCTTCCACTATATCATGTTGCTCAAAGCCCCATCCAACCTGGCCTTGAACACCTCCCTCTACCTGCTGGCCACTACTCTGTTGATGCACCCAGGATATGGGTGGCCTCCTGGGCTGCAAGCGCACACTGCTGGCTCATGCTGAGCTTTTGATCCACCAGAATCCCCAAGTCCTTCTCTGCAGGGCTGCTCTCAATGAGTTCTCCCAATCTTGCACAATCTTCTCTTGTACAGGTTGTCTAGACCCAGGTGCACCTTGCACTTGGCCTTGTGAACCTCATTAAACTCACATGAGCCCACTTTTCTAGCTTGTCCAAGTCCTTTTGACTGGCATCCCTTCCTTCTGTTGTATCAACTGCACCACTCAGCTTGGTGTCCTCTGCAGACTTGCTGAGGGTGCACTTGATCCCACCGTTTATGTTGTTGATAAAGATACTGAACAGTACTGGTCCCAGGATGGATGCCTGAAGGGTGTCACTGGCCATTCAGCAGCATTTAATTCATTATTTAATTCATTTAATGTGATACAGAGGAATTACACCTGGTGTGCTTTTTTTTTTGTTGTTTTCCATTTGATACTTAAGTGCCTGAATTTTCTTCCTTCAGTCAACACAATTACAACAATTTTCCCTTTCTTACTATGTTTCCTCTGCTTGGTTGAAGGCTCAGGGATTTTCAGTATGTGCTTTAACAAAAGACTACTTGCTTTATTTGAGGGTTCCCTTTCCCTGCTTTTCCAATGTTCCTTACCAATGCTTTTTGCCTGAGAACTTGGTAGGAAGGGTGTCTCTATCACAGAATCACAGAATTTCTAGGTTGGAAGAGACCTCAAGATCATCGATGTGTATGAATGAGGCTAAGAAACCAAGTTATTCAAGGTAAAGGAACAGAGCTCTATGTACACTTAACAAACCTCAAATTCCTTCTAGAAAGTAAAATAGGATATTCATCAATATTCATTAGACAAGTAAAACTAATCACAAGTCTAAAGGTTAAACATTTATATTTGCTGCCCAGGATTCTTAAGGGAACAAAAAAGAAGACAAAGGTAGGATGACTTGACCATTTCATCTCTAAGGAAAATAAAGAATTTAGTTGATTAGGTTAGGCAATTATGATGTCTAACTTTTAAGTCACTAAAGAAGAAATTAATTTAATCTCAATTGACCAAACTGCAGCACTTCATAAGTGACTGGTTTCTAGCCAAGACAATGACCTTCACTCTAACCAGTAAGCTTCAGTTCCCACAAGCTAGGGAAATTACAGCTTTTCAAACCAGTTAGACACTGCCTGGTCTGGTTACTCATTATGTACCTTGTTCCCTCAGGCCTTTTTTAAGCTCAGTACAACAGAGATGAAAAAAAGCTGTGCCCATTCTGTGGAACATTTCAGTACAGAACATTTTGTGTTTTGCTTTGTTTTCTTAAGTCAAAATGCAAAATGTTTTTTTCTCATCCTAAGGCTCAGAAGGCAGATATTTATTTAGAGAAGAGACTGGACTTTTGATGAAGGCAAGGACGAGTATAAAACTTCACTTTGTCCAACTAAGCATGAAGAAAATTAAGTACAGAGAACAACACTAACGGGAAAATTTAAAAGGTAAGTTTATATAACGGGAGGGGGCAAAAAAATGTTCTGCTCACACTCACGTTAGATGATCAGTACATTTAAAACTGAGGATGGTCTTAACTTTTTTTGGAATTAACATGTTTGGATTTATGTTAGTGATAGTCATGCAAGAATGAGATGTATCTGCAAAATAAACCCCTTTAAGTGTCATTTTACTCATCCCAGGACTAGTCAATCATCTAGCAAATTTCAGACTTAGATATACAAGCATTGGAGATGGAGCAACCAGTACCTCTATGCAGTTAGAAAAATAATCTCTGTGCTACAAAAAGAAAGCTTGCAGGAGACAGAGAATAGAAGTGGCCAAGGTCCGTACCACATCTGTGAGTGGAGAGCAAATGTAAGCCAAAAAAAAAACAAAAAAACAAACTAGCTTTTGAAGCAACTGCATGGGTTACATGTCACACTGAGACAAAGCAGCTGCACCTATGCAGTTATGCCTCCGCTGAGTTGCTTCCCAAACAGACTAAATTAAGAAATCATACTTAAGATGTCTGTTCTATAAATATCTGTTTTCATTTAAATACACATATAGCCCGTTTTGAATATATTCTTGTGACAAAATAATTGAAATATGCATGAAACAGGTCAAAGAAAGAATACCAGTTGAGAGAGAGGAACGGTGTCAGACATGAAAATCTTCCCAAATTTTACCAAGATCTTATTTCACTTTTTTTTTTTTTATAAATAATTATTTGACAAATAAGTACCATTATCACATTTTGTATTAAACTGCCTGTATTGTTTGATACAGTTTGGACTTGCAAAATAAGGCGGAGGCATTGCATAACCTAGTACTGCATCATGCAGCTGTGTCTGCACAACTGGGCAGGGGCAAAAAAAAAATCACAGGAGCTGACAACACTACCTTCATGGGTAGCTTTAATTAATAGGTAGCTTACTTTCCAATTAAAAGCTTAGGTGTGTTTTTTCTGAGGTCATGTAGACACAGTAAGTGCCCACGGGGTGCATTCAGTCCCAGCTGAAGAGATTTACTGCTTAAACCACAGATTTTTTTTTTTTTTTAATAAGATAATCCCCCAAATCATAGCTTCTTTAAGTACTAACTACTCATTTATTTAGAGCCATTTCCAAAGAACAGTAGAGGATAGCTTCAAAGAGGGATATATGCTTTTGGTGGAGACAAAATTCCAACATTATGTTCTGATGAAAATAGAGGGAGGCTAGACTCTTATACCTGAGCAACAAGACATGCAGGTATTTTCTATTCTAAAGAAACTGCTAGTGATAACGTCTGGACTGAATGTGGTAGAGCGTGCAAACACAACTGGAGGCAAATACTTTGTGTTAAACTCCTCCTGACTTCTTTACCAGAACGGTAAAACAACATAACACCTTGGCCCCTAAAAATTGCAGACAGTTTTTTTTGTTTTGTTTTTTTAAAAAAGGGGGCTTTTACTCAGACTCTTCTACTAAAAGAATTCTTCTGAACAAAGTCAAGCCAGAAAACCAGTTTAACAATTGTTTTCCATGCCAGGGAAAATTCAGGATTTTTATCCCAGTGCTCCTTTATTAAAGAAAAATAAGAATCTCTCAATGAGCACACAGACAAGATGGTCATCCAGCAAAACGACTGACTTGTGCAGCATTGCTGTTGCACACGATGCAAAGCAACAATAATCAGCTGGGCCATAAAGTCTCATCACAAAGACAAACTTCAGCCTTTAGATCTGATATCTAGGTCTCTGCTTACCTAACTACATCACTTCATCAGAAAACTGCTTCCAGAAAAAAAAAAGAAAAAAAAAGAGAAAACCCTGAAAAGGTAGAACCACCACATATTCTGAGCAATCTTGGCAAATGCCTCAAGCCAATGCTGCAGAATCAGGCATTGGCTAGAGCCATCCTAATCACAAAAGGAATAAGGTCAGAAAGCAACGCAGCTGAAGGCCATCCTAGAAGAGAGACCAACATACAGACAAAACAGGAGAGAAGAATGTAAGCTGGCAGTACCAAGTCCAGAGCTGACAGGACACCATGGACATTAAGACTCCTTATACAGGTTTCTCTCCTAAGCAGTAGTTAGGGTCTAAGCTAACACAGCAACTCTGCCTTTTACCAAGCCCAAGAGTTGCTGCAAAAGGGTGGAGGGAAATCAAACAATTTAAATACTTATCTCCTGCACTCAGTGGCTGTACATTTTGTCTTATTGCCTTTGGAGTTTCAGTGTTTATGATCTTTTATGATCTTTTTTCACAATCTTTCAATGACAAACTGCCATTAGCATCTTCCCCTCTGGTCTTTGTGTATGCATGTAGATAAAATAATCCTTCCATTTAAGGCACAAGCAGAACTACAGATCCTACCTCGACTGGTCTAAACATTCCTAGAAAAGCAGCAAACTAGAGGTTAGAATTGGAAGTGCTAACCACCTACCACAAACCACAGTCACCTTCTAACCTAAGTTAAAAGGAAATGTTTTGGTAAGTACCTTTGGATGCATTCCTACAGGAAGTTTTCCCAATCCATTCTGTTACTGATGGTTCACACAATGTCCTTCTAAGTGCTGAATTTCTCTGCTGGTTCACCCCTCAACCATAACTACAGATACTGTCAGAACTCCTGAAGTATCCTTCAAAATAAGAGTAAGAGCATCTTATTTTCTTCTACAATGAGTAAAGGACAAGGGCAGAAAACTGTTTGTTTTTTTTTTTTTACCAATGTGAAAAGAGCCACAGAGTATTTTATTTCGCTTTCATAACATGCTTGTGCTGCCCGTGTTATGGAAGAACCACTGAATTCTCCATTGTCATTTAAGACAGGTTTATGCTTCATTTCTAGATAATATCATTGTTTCTTCATTTAAAGTATTCCTTGAAAGCTAATTCAAGTGTTTGTTTTGGCTTTTGTTCTTTTTGTTCGTTTTTAAATAGACTGCTTTGTGACTGTAATGCAAAGAACAACAAACCCAAAGATACCAAAATACACAGCCTTTCATTCTCTGCCTAGAAGCAGAGAAATGCACATTTCATTTTATTTTCTTGTCCTTTACTCCTTCTGAAATCAAGTAAATATTTTCTTTCATATAAAAATGCATTTTAGAGATACCAAGCAGCAGATGAAACAGCAGGAAATAAAATCAATGAAATTCAATCTGTGAACCACCAACAGCAGAGAAGAGTAAAAAATGTGTTAGGACGGACCAAAAAATTACCATTCAATGTTTCTTGTCCACTTAGAAGATCAACAGTCAACCAAACACAGTGGGGAGAAAGAAGTATCAAGTTTGTTAAAGGTACAAGAAACAAGTGGTAAGTAGAAATCCAGTAAGTCTGTATAGAAATAAGTCTGCTACAAACCCCTACAAGGCTTTCCAATTGATAAGTACTTCACAGAGCAGGGAAATGACAGACCTGGGGACTTCCAAGCCTGGGACTGTCTCAAAAGCTGATTATTCTCACCATAGCCCAGTTCCTAGCACACTTTAAGGAATGTAAGGTACCCGTTTGATATAAAGTACCCATGCATACTGAAATTATGTTTCTTTGGCTCTGGTCGATATACAAACCTAAGCATACTGGAAGATACCACTAGAACTGTTTTGCTAAACTAGTTTGTTTTCTTTCACTGATCCAGACAGCTTACACATCAGAACATGCACAATTTATCACTAGATTTTACCCTTGTTCCTCTTGACTTAGAAGATTACAGCTAAGTTCACCAACATACTAAAAAATATACATATATATATATAAATAAAACATACTCTTAACACCTGTTCAAAAAAACACCTATTTTTCCTCTTCCTCCTCCTGTCCCTCTCCCACATTCCCCTTCAAGCAAGAAATCACATTTTATTTCACCAAGCCTTCCTTCAAGGATTTATTGCTTCTACCATGAAGGCCCTTTCTCCCCGTCTGCAGTCAGCAATTTTATCTGCCTTTGATACTCTGAGGTATCAGGAATAAGCATTTTTTCCAGCCGTAAGCAAGCCATTTGTTATTAAATCCTCAACTTCTCAAAGATAATACACACTAAAAGATTAACAGGAGTAACTCTTTCCTCAATTTGTAGGCTAGTGAAAGTCATTTTCTCCCTTTGCATGTGTGCACAGATATTCTGAAAAAAAACAGTGCAAGTTTTTGCTTCTCCAAATGGCCACCTCGCTATGTTCTTTCTGAACGCTTAGATAAGAAGGCTGAATGTATGCAGTTAGTTTTACTATGCCGCTGTAGTTCTCATGGTACTGTTTTAGAGACCATAAAGTATATCAGCTACAACCACTCTCAGAATTTCTAACATTAGTCTGCTTTGTATGTTCAAGGTCTGTAGGCTCTACTTACTCTAGTCAAATGGGCAAAATTCAGCTCTTGGTCACCTTTTCACCATTATTTGGTTTCATTAGTAACACTACTACCGCATTTACCAGCACTTTTCACAGTGAAATATCTTCCTGCTATTGATTAAGTACTTCCACTGCATAATTATGAGAAGTGCACCTTACACAGTAGCTAAGAGCCATCTGGTATTCAGTAAACTTAAAATCATTGTAAGTAACAATTTATGATTCGTCTTGGCAGGCTGCTACAGCAAAGTGCTCTGAATTTGTGAACCAGCTTTATTTTAGAGAACAAAGTTGCCAACTAGCTTTCAGGGCTGAAATACTACCCCCAACCCTTCAGTCGCTTAGAAAATAATGTTATTCTCATGTGTTTTCTTGTTGTTGTTGCTGGGTTGTTTGTAGTTGCTGTTGTTAAATCCCAAGCTATACCTTCTAATATACTGAAGGAGTATCAACATATGCAAAATTTTATTTCCATTCACATATTTTACAGGCTTCTGATCAACCGTTTGTACTCCCTTGCTAGTGGCCATAGCTTTAGAATCAGTAGCGGGGAGGAACTTACGCTGGTCACTCGACGGTAGATCTGCGCAGCATTTTGGCACTCAGAATAAGGATACTCAGACGTTGCCATCTCTAGCATACACATCCCAAAAGCATATACATCAACGGATTCATCATATTTCTCCTCATACATCTCGGGGGCCATGAACTCTGGGGTACCTTAAATTAAAAGAACGATTCAGACTCTAAATGTCTCAAAGCGAGCAGAGGCTGCTGGCGTTACTCACCGCAGGAGGAAGCAGTTGGGCAGACCTGTGAGACAAGAGAAAGTGGAGGCAAAAAGAAGAGGGAGGAAACCCTTAGTCACTCTGTTCCATCAACATACTTTGTGAGTCTTCCATTGCAAGGTCTTTATGGAATAAGAATGGCATGAAAGGGCTGATGTAATTCTTGTTTGATGCATGTTAGTGTAAGAATCAAAACAGACTGGATCAGGCATCAAATGGAGGGAAGGGGGATAAGAAGAGGGGAAAACAGTCAGACTAGCCATAGGCTGCAAACCAAATACTAAAGAGAGTTAAGACACTTACCTTTTCTCCCTGTAAGAAAGGAGGCACATTAAACCTGTTTTCAGGAATTACCTGACTGCCCTCTGCTGCAAAAGAAGTAGTACTGGTAGGAGCCCACAGCTAGTCTCTGACCTAGTGCTCTCCACCTATTTTTTCAGGTAGAATAGTTCAGGAAAGGCCTTGCAATGAAAAACTCTGTCGTTAAAACATAACTCTTCATGAAAAAGGATAAGAAGTAATTTTCTGCAAAGGCCACTCACCAGAGCCCTCTTCTTCATATACTTACCTTCCCACCTGCAGTATATTTATAGGCCTACTGCAGATACAGGCATTAGTGAGGAACATCCTACAGTCAAAAATACTTAGAAATACAGAGAGATTGAGTTACAGGCATAGAGCGTGAGATTCAACAAGTCCTATTTAAAGAGTTTGAAGAGAATTTTTGCTCAGGGAAGCATCACTGCACCCTCTTTGCAGTCCAAAGGATTGCGTTGTATGATCAGATTTACTTTAAGCCAGAGATGCAAGTTTGCTTGTAAATTTAAACACAGAAGTATTTCCTGCAGACACCAGATTCAAGACAGTTTACAAATCATTCAACAACCACATTGCTCCTTTTCACCACATGAAACCAGAAAAAGAGAATGCAGTTGTAGCCACTTATCCAAAGGCTAACTATTAACAGCAAAAGACAAAGCTGTAATTTTTTAAATAATAAGAGTATGTTTAAGAAAATCATTTTTTTTTGGTACTGGATATTTTTCATTCCTACTAATACTATGACCTGGTTAAGAAGCAGGAAATATTTCAGTGACTACTTGCAAGATAGTTCACAGGTATACATCATTGATCCCATCTGGGAATCTAGAACAGGACTGTTGAGCAATATTGCATTTTAGCAAGCTGAAATACTAGGAATAAAAGCAACTTCATTTCCGGCAGCCTACTCACCCAACTACAAGAACAAAGCTGATAAAACCAATTCTATAAAGAATTCACAGGAAAGGTCATCCTAGTTCTATCAGCCCAATAGTTTATTTCTCAAAAAAAAGGTCATTAGGGGATACTTAAGAACAGACTAAGTACAGGACTGCACTTCCACGATGTATCCCCTTCCACTGTCTGGGGACTTCCTGAGTAAGACATTATACCACAATTTGCAGTATTTTGTTTTTTTTGATACATCTTAGTTTTTGATTACTCACAAAATGTAAGAGATTTAATATTAACACCTGATGACAATCATAAATATTGGTCATACAAATTAATGCTAGACTAAATATCAGTGTTGTTCAGTCACCAAAATCCATTTGGAAGTTTCTTGAAGGGGCATATTAAAGATGAGGTTTATAGTTAAGAGAGGTTTTATCAACAATGTTACATGAAATTGTTGGGCAAGGCAGTAAATCTACACTGAAATACTTAATGTTAATATAAAAAAAAATCAAAAACACAACCAGCATTTCAACATGTAATCTCAACAGACGGGAAACCCAGCCTGCACATCCACAGGCTTTGACCATGTACCTTTGAAACCATATTTTTAAGGAAAGCTCTTAAGATTCAAGTTCCCAAGTATGTAGACTGGCTCACCAGCCTTCAAAACAGTAGAGGCTTACCTATCACACTTTTGGCAAAAGAAGCTCGCTTCAGGGTTGCCAGACCAAGGTCTCCAATCTTGACTGATCCAGTGGGGCCAGTAATGAAGATGTTGTCACATTTCAAGTCTCTATGAATAATGGGAGGAGTGCGTGTGTGTAGAAATTGTAAGCCTTTCAGTATCTGACGGCACCAGCTTCGTAGTACTTTGATTTTCATCACTTTAAATCTTTTCAAATACCTAGTGAAAAATAATAGTACATTAAACAGGTTCCAATGTCAACCCATTGTCTTTCAAAATCAAGTTCTGCTACCAAGTAGCAGATTATGCTGTACCATTTGATGCTCTGAAGTGAAAAAGCAGTAATTAGATTCAAAAATTTCAGCTTCACCCTCTATTTTAAAAACTACCCATGCATTTCACAATCGAAGAGCTAAAGATGCACCCCCCTCCTAAAACAAACTGCCGTATTGAGAATTTCTACCCAATTCCTTCTAACCAGGAGACTATAATGCTGAAAGACAAAAACACTCAGTTTGCTAAGTCTCAAGGCACTGCTTCCCCAGCAAAGAGTTAAAAATTTCTGTATTACACCTCCCTTATCTACTTATTTGAGAGGATTATTTCCCCCTACTTTTCATCCTGTAACCACTTACCACTATAAATAGTTATAACCTTTTCCTTGATGGAACAGGGGGCAGGGGCAGTAGGGCCAAAGATGCTAACAAAGAACAACCAAGTACTGAGCTGTTGCAAACCGTGCAAGAGCTATGAAGTCATTATACCTCAGTTATCAATATTAGTCCAAACTTTTTGACCAAGCACCCCAGATGACACTTTAAATCTGATTCAAATTTACTTGCTGAGTGGCTAAGCAAATCAGAAATTCTCAGAGACCACCTCCCTGGTGCTATCCCACATGAGATGTGATCACCTGAATCTGAGCAGTTGCTATTTCAAACCTACAGACAGGTAAGAACGTGAGAAAAAATCTTTTAAAATGCTATGCCAAAGAATTGATGGAGAAGAGTTCGTACATAATGTCAGCATCCCTTAACTGTTCGAACAGCCTTAACTCTTCTAACATTGCTGCTTTCTAAAATCCATGTCAGAAGAGTCAAAAAATCTTTTCCAATCTTTTCCAATCCTTGTGACAGAGGAGCGTGATCTTATCCTACTGCTTGACTTCAACAGATTAGAGTTGCCACTGGGTGAACAACCTATGACAGTATTCAAGTGTTTTCCAGCTGTGTAGTCCCACTATCCCTCTCCAGGTAGAAGAGTTTAAAGTGAAGAGTTCTTTTCTTTCTCCTTTTTAAAAAATGCAGGCTGAAATACATTTAGAGAAGGAGCTGCTGAAATAGCTGCTGCATACAGCAATAACTTTATTCTTATGTAGCCAACGTTACTCAGTTAAATCTGACCAGTTTTACACTGCCACAAGACTGGTGGTAAATTCCGTGACCAGGATTGAATTCAGCAGACATATTCTTAAAACCAAGTCCGGTTCCATTATTCTGTGGCAGTGTTCAGTCTCTTCTGCATATCCACTTAATCAGGAGCATAAATCTTGATAAAATTACTTAAATCAATGCCAACATAAAAATTCAATATATAAATCCCTGTTACTTTAACTTCTCTGGTTCAAAGGAAGATCTGGAAAGCAAGTTGCGAGCAATAATTCTGCTGTGAAAGCAGAACTGTAAAAGCCATCAAGACCTTATTCCAGAAGGAGTCTCAAAACAGAACGTAAAGACGGACAGGGGAAAAGCCAAGCCAAGGAAGGAGACAAGCTGAAGGAGGTCCTGGATCACATCAGCTACCACTTGAATTCTTGCTATTGACACAATCCTCATTCATCTCTCTTGAGCCTGTTCCAAAGATCACATGGTAGGGGCACTTCAGTTCAGCATCTGGAATCCCTAATTACATTCTTGGTTTCAACTATGCTAGCCTACTGCCAGCTCCTCACTGTTAAAGGACCTGGGTCCAACCATCACCCAGCATCCTGCAGTGTTGCTATAATTTTTCCATAACACTGGCATGAACTAAGGCACGTGTCACTTAGGGCAGAAAGCATTTCAAAATGGAAATGTATAAATACTTAAAAGTACACGGACAGCCATATTAACCAGTATGCTTTGAATTTTCCTAACGTTATATGGTAACTTGGGTTAGGAGAGACCTTGGGAGGTCTCTGGTCTGAGCGCCCTTTCCATGCAGGGTCAGCGCGAAGTCAACCAGGTTAATTTGGGTTATATCCAGTCGGGTCTTGGGAATCTCCAAGGATGGACTTGGGGCAACCTGCTCCATGGCCTCACTGTCCTCAGTGTAAAGGATTTTTTCCTTGTACCCAGTCTGAACCTCTCCTGTTTCAACGTATGCCTGCTGTCTCTAATCCTCCTGCCACGCACTAAGGGAGAGAACCTCTGATTTCTTCAGAGGCACTGGAAGGCTGCTTCGAGGTCTCCCCCAAAGGCTCCCCATCTTCAGGCTGAAGACGCCCGGTTTTCTTAGCCCCTCCTCACACAGTAGGTGCTCCAGCCCCTGACCATCTTGGTGACCCTGCACTGAACTTGCTCTTAATGTCATTCTTGGCTATTTTACATAAAAGACAGGTATTTGATCTGAGCACAGAACACTCCTAATAGTTAACTACAATGAACAGAGAAAAACAGGAACTAGAGCTTGGCTGTCTCAATCTTTTCTTTTTTTTTTTTAAACAGGAAGGCTCGTGACCTATCACAGCATCTCATCTCCAGGAGCTAGAGGAAACCCTACTAAGTTAGCAGAAATAGTTACGAAGGCACGTATCCTATCAGATAATTAACACTTTCTTTTTAAGTAGATCAGAAGCACATACTACAGTGTCCTCAGGAAACAAGACCAGAGGTTGAGACTTAAGTCTGGTCATTATTTTTTTTTTAAACAAAGTGGCAACGATGGCTATGTCCCTAGTCTCAAAATGAGGAAGATACCACTTACATGAAAAGTAGATAATATAGACATACTGAAAATATACGGAAGTTATACTTCGTCAAATTTCATATGCTAAAACAAGTGCGCAGTACAAAACCAGGAATATGACACAGGTAAGCGAAATATGGTATTAATGATATTAAATTTGGTGTTTCAGAAATTTCTCATACAATTTACCTGTCAGGTCTTAAGTGAAGTGGACAAAAATAAACTAAAATATAATGAAGTACACAATGGTGAAAAAAAATTACAGTTTAAGAGATAGCAATTAACAAGAAAAATAGTTTTTTTCTGGATAAAAAAAAAAAAAAGACCATCAGTTAGAGTAGAAAATAATCCCATGGCCAGCAAATCTAAAGTATTTCTTCCCATCAAAACATTATCCTATGGCTGTCTGTTACTACTGTATTATGTTGCTTATGCTACTACACAACAAGACAATCCAAACATTACATTTGTGAGGGAAAGAACAGGATAAAAAAGGGAAAAAAGAAAGTTACATCTAACACTACACAGACTATCATGAAAATAGATAACTGTAAATAGAAGCACCTGTCCAGAGCTGTAAAACCTTTATACTGCTTTAAGTACAGGACATAGAGAAATTGATCTATTACTTCATCTGAAATATCTTAAACTACCTTTAGAAAAACAAAAGCCTTTCCCAAACATACGGAGAAAGAAAAAGTTGTAACATCTTTAAACCTCCAGCACTATTTCAAGAGACAAAGACTTCCATATAGTTACAGTCCAGACTCCCAATAGCATTTTTTCCTGCTTTAAGCATGTCCATTTGTGGCTATCAATAAGCATCACCAAAAAAAAAAACACACTAAAAGTTCACAGGCTATTTTAACCAAATAGACTGCAAATTGTTTCCAGCTCCTACAGTCTGCTCACATATTTAAGATCTGAATGCCTCTCCAAGACTTAAATGGGCAACAAATTAAGACGATGACCCACAATATATGAATTTCAAATCCTGGCAACTTTAATTCCAGTAGATTTATGACAACTGTATGCTTCTGAACAAGCTCACATCTCTGCAAGATTGTACAGTGCAAGACAAAGGCATGATTTCTGTTTGACTCCCTCCAAGCTTTACACACCACTAGAGGGCCCTCACAGCAGTTTGATTTGCTGGTGTCTGACTTAAAGACAGATCTAGCTTCACTCAACTACTTTACATGGCAGAATTGCGAATACTTTCAGGTTTTTCTCAGGTACTACTTCATGAAGTTTCAACTAAATAAAAAGGGTGGTTTTGGTTTTGTTTCTTTTTACATCCAAAGCCTCACGCCAAACAGAAGTGAGCTTGATAGGAAAGGGAAAAGGTCTGAAAAGTAAAAATAGAGCATTCTCTTTATGAGACCACAAAATCTTACAGTTCTCCTGCATGTGCTTACTATCACAAAGAAGAATCTGACAATTTTGCTAACCTAAAGAATAATCCATTGTACCCTGCAGTACCAAGACTCTTCTTAAACAAGAATTTCCCTACAGAAGTTCAGTTCCCACTAAAAGGGCTTTGTTCTTATCTATTCTGAATTATCAGCTGCTTCTAGCGCTCTAATTTTGTGCTAATGTTTATCATATGCTTTGACATGGTTGAATTTACTTACGTTTTCAACGTTCCAGATGTCATGAGTTCCGTCACAAGAACAATACATTTTTTTCCTTTGACTGTAGACTCCCAGGAATCATAGAACCTGACAATATTGGGATGCTGAAGCCCTTTTAGCATCCCAGCTTCCTCTTTAAATCTTTGTCGCTCTGACTTGGACAGTTTCCGATCCTAATGAAAAAGAAAAGAAAGCTTTGCTTTATTGTTTAGAAAAGCAACAATCTGAAGAACAATTATGTACAGGCAGTGAACAAGCATCAGCATCTTTTAAATGTCATTTTGCTCCCAGTTACCCTTAAATAGTTTATTTAGAAGACATTCTATTATTGCTTGTTTAAATCTTAGTTTCCTTTACAGTCTGATTGCTCTCAGAGGTAAGTCCAGGGAGACTGGGAATTTTCTCTTCCTGTTTCCCTCCCACACTCCAAAGAGGTTTTCTGACTTGAGGTAGCAGTGGAACTTAATGTCCTAAAACGTTCAAGTATTCAAGGACAGGCAAAACAGAATCATTTGAGGCACATTTCACAGATATTTTATTTATATATATATACATATATACATATATATATATATATATAAATATATATATATACATATATATAAAACAAATATATATATGTATATTATATATATAAATAAATTTATATATATAAATATATATATTTATATATATATATAAATATATATACATATATAAAATATATACATATATATATTTGTGCATATATTATATATGCATTATATATATTATATATTATATAATATATATTATATAATGCATGTGTATATATATATATATATATTGTATATTATATATATTTATATTATATATGTGTATATCTATATTATATATGTATGTATGTATAAAAGTTATTCCTTTGTTTATAGAATCCAGACCACTGGTAAGAGATTGCATTAACTCTCCATGAAGACAGTAGAGCAACAAACCTAACATGTTGGATGCACTTACGGTAGACAAATGAATTTGGGTTAGATTTTCTTAGATTAAAAGTATGACCTCATGATTGAGCAAGTTTCCTGTAATCTAGCATCAAGGAAAACAAAGACATAATTCACGTTAGAGAGACAGCAAGCTTTTGGCCAGAGACAAACCATGAAAAAGCATTCCTGGACAATATTACTGTATTATCTACCAACAAATGGCTATCCAATATCTTCAGGAGTCTGACCAGCTATTTCCAGAACAAGTTGCAAGTCCCAAAAGAAGGAGAAAAGGCCTCCTTCCGTCTTTCAGTTTTGTCAGTTTACCAGTGCATAGTCACACCAGTCAGCCTGATCAACTGACATGAATTGGATCCATATGTAGTATTCAAAACATCTCAGGATACACTTAAAGACAAGAATTTTACAATCAGCATTTCTACCCATTATTTACGAATAGCTAGTGACCTTTGTCAAATCTGGGCAATGATTTTAAGTCACTCCATTTCATATTTCCTTTTCAATTAGAAGGCAGAATAAGCATGCAGGGTTTACTCAACCTTCTATTGTCCACCAGGCTGTAACTCCTTTTCCTTTGTTAACAGTTAATGTGTTTTCTCAATACAATTCAGCCACGTTAATATCTAAACCATCCTCTAGTTGCTTAAATTATCAACATTTTCTAAGAGGCCCACAGAGTATCTTTGGGCACGGACAGCCTACTTCATTTCCAGATGAAGCTCCAGTTTTCAGGAGTGTAAAAGTCTTCCAGGTGAATGTTTAACAGGTTTGCAATTACTTCAGAGATCAGTGCTTATAACTGTCAATCACATATATTTCTGTGTTTGGGATTTTTTTTGGAAGGTGCCAAATTCATGTCACGAATTTAACTAATAGGTATCAAGAGTTTTCAATCCTGAAACTATTTTTCTCTGCAGAAATTAGCGCTACCACTTCCCCTCTGCAGAAATTAGCACTACCACTTCCCCTCGCACCTAAAAGAAAGCATCCTTGAGCAAGCATAAGTTTTGCTAGATCGTGCTTGCAGAAACACTAAGCAAATTCTTTAACATTCACATCTGATGAGATTGTGTTGTGTTTTTATTTTCAATATAGAAGGAATGCTTCCGTTTGAGCTGCCTTATACCGCTAATAGTTTTCCTTTCTTTACAATAAGCAGCAGCACAAATTCTGTCCAAGACCAATTTAATCCCAACTGTTACAAACAGCTGCGACGCAGAAAAGCAATGAGCTGCTACAGGTACTTCAATCAACAGATCATATGCACATGCCTTAAGAAACTCAATCCTTAGAACATAAAATTACAATAAAATAATATTTTTACAAGGGAAACGAAGCAAAGTGCTCTCAGCCTCTGCACTTGGCTGCAACAATTACTTTTTTACATTACTTAATTTTAGCTATGTAATATGAATACTTGCATTTACGTTTGTCTAAAAAGTAGACCACGGATGTACATTTGGATAAATTTCCTTTATTTTGTGCATTTTTGTGCATGCCACCTACCTCAAACATGACTTTTTAAAACCAATTTTAACCCACACTTGACATTAAATTCTCATCTAAACCTGCGTAAGCCTGATCTCCCTTAAGGGCCTCATTCAGTCTTCCCTAGCACTGCACTACTAGCCCCAAATAGAAACTAACAAGTGCTAATCACTCTTATCAATGAACAGACTCCTAATGGGCACGCATATTTTGAGTCATTTCTCTTTCTGGTCACATTAATGGTAGCATCGTGTTCCTGCAAGCATATCTGTGACGTTTAAAGCAGACACTCAACACTTCAGTGCTGGCGTTAATAGAAGAGAAAAAAAATCCAGACAACGACAATAGACTAATTCAACACTTCTTTGAAAGTCATAGTGCCCTAATGAACTCAGACAAGTTAGGACGCAAACACAGGCAAACAAACACAAATCCCACCCAGAGCAAACAGCTATGTTTTTGCAACCAAGGGAACATCACACCTTCCAGGAGTGCACTGCAACAGCAGAAGTTAACATTAAACAGAGCTGAAAGAAAAGGACAGAGAGGCCACTTGTTTCCTAAGTCTAGCAATGCACACTGCCTCTAACTACCCTCGTTGCCTTGGATCCCACACTCATCCATGACACATATTTCTATTTCTTTCCCTAAAGGAACAGCTAGGTAGCAGAAAACAGTGAATGTACCTGAAAAGGCAAGAAAACCAGCAATCAAGAAAATACTAGACCTCATGTACAATTATACCAACCAAATTAATCCGTATACACAGACTGGTGCTTATACTTGCACAAACTACCTTCTAATGCAAGCTGCAAATAGCCTACAGGCTAAGCAAAAGGGAGGCAGTGGGGCAAGGGTGGCTCTTGCGCATCTCCACCTCTAACAAAACCATAAAAAGCACCATTGTGTATCATTTAAAGTAAGCTATTACCTTTGATTAAATTGTATTAAAGGTGAATCAAATACGATCTATATCCTCTGCAGCCTTTCTCCCTGCAGCTTGAGGTCTAGAGGTATACAGAAAGATCAGAGCAGCATCTATTTGCTGCATCCATCCAGAAGCAAAAACAGATTCCACGACTTGACACTTCAGAATCACAAAGCATAAGATTGGGTAAACAGTTTTAATGTTTTAACTTACATTTTTATTTCTGATAGCCAGAAACAAAACAAAAAAGGCATAAGATGCTTTTCTTAAGTCTGAGAAACAAATTTATAAAGAAGAAACTACTTTAAGAACAGCTAATAATATATGGCTTGATATCCTATCCTTCAAAGACCAATTTGTTTTGGAATTTCAACTAAAAATAAAAAAATTGGACACCCTCCCTCCTCCCTCAGTCATTCCTTTTTTACCATATAATGAAGCAATCCCAGGCAGACAAGACGAACTCCTAAGCCTAGACATTAGCAAATCACATTCTCGCATCTCAGTTATAGCATGTGCTGAGCCGATATAGCACAAATATTTAAAAATATACAAGCTGTCAAACTCGAGGAGAGCTTGCTTCCTAAAATGGACTTAACTATCCCATAAATTGGGCAGCATTGTTCTTCCTGAACCGATAGCTTCCCCGAAGGACTCAAGTGCCACATCCCAATCACTGGGCTGCCCTTCCAACAAACTGAAACAGATGCATCAAGCCCACTCTGTTCATTTCATTCATTCCTTTCCACCTACATTAAATTGTTTTGACAAGCCAGGACAAACAGCAAGGCTTCCCAGCACGTGACCCACAGCTCTGCAGTGCCAGGGGCCTGAACAGAGAGAGGCAGTAAGTGAAACAATTGTTTGGCTCGATACCATTCAATAACCTTTCCTCGGCAGTTTTCATTTATCCACGTACTTCCCTCTGACTTCTTTTGGTCAGGAAACAGCTATCAGAGGTACTTACATTATTCTGCATAAGACAGGAATCTTGGCCATTCGTGATAAACCAGGTACCCCATCAGGAGGAGCGTGACTTTGAACTGTTACTACCTGCTTTCTATCCCCGTGCCTAGGTACCTTATATAAATGAAGAGGAAAAAAGAAAAACAAGACACACAACTAAAAACACTCCCCCACATAAATTAGCTGGTTTGCCAAGCCACAGAAAGTGAGGCACATCAGCAAAAGTTCTCTATATTCCCTTGGTGACTTTTTCCAGCCAAAGCTCAATATCTGTTCAGCATCCTTCTGAACAAGGAAAGGAAATGCATTTGTCACCTAAATTAATCTTAAATTTCAGCTGGGTTGCTCATATACCATCTTCCTGCAGAATTTTTCAGTGTTGTCTCAGAAACACGGTGACGAGAAAGCCCACCTACCTGCACAGCACACCTGCAGCTGCCTTCGGGAGGCACCATGCTCCGCTCCGGCCACCCTGCTCTGCTCACAGCGAGCTCAAGGAAGGGTCTCACCCTCTGTCTTGCCTCAATGTCCGTTTTTGCTAACTATGAGCAACCCTACGTGATATTACAGACAGAACTGACACACTCAACGGGCCTTAAATGGACACAGGACTAAAGACGTAACACGCTGCTCTCCAGCACATGGGCACAAGAAACCAAGCAAGTGGACAACGAGAGAAATACCCCACATGGCAGCAACTAGATCCACTCTCTGCTCATGCATCTTAAAAGTTAATTGTACTCTGCTAAGGAACTGAAAGAGCTGCTCCCTCTTCCACAGTATGAGGAAGGTACCCAACAGAGGAAACAGACTGAGCACTTTGCCTACTACAGACAGGTTTTGCTAGCTTTCTGCATGTCGTGCCACTCGATCCAGAAATTCTGCATTGTTACACTGCTCGCACAGGCAGTGGGCTTCGGCTGGTTTGGGGTTTTGTGTGTGTTATTTTAAGAACTACTCTAGAGCTGCACTGTCTAGATTTTATCTAGGAGAGATGTGCTAGAAAACACCAGGCAAATTAGTAAGAAATTCCTCTTCAAGTGATGTGCTCTGACAATGTACGGTCATGTCAGCTTTCAAAGCATTGTTGAATTACAGATAAACTGACTCACAACCAAGGTGAAACACCCAACTCTGCTGAGGTTACACCAAGCGGCATTTTGTCAAGCTTTCCAAATGGCTGAAATCTGGGGGGAAGTCACTGCGGCTCCCAGCCTATTATTCAAAGGAAGAAGTAGTATACAGAACAGACAAATGTTCTTCTGTGTGCATTTGTGCAGCATATGAGAAAGGCTTTGCAAGCCTTTTAGGCAAGGTTAATGAGGGGTCATCAGAGGAGAAGCTAGCAAGACAGTGCTCTGATATTCAGCGCTGCTAATGGAACCAAGGCTTTGTAGGCTGCAGTGTTCTCATCCTGAAAAAATCTAGCAGTTAAGAGGAAAAATGAGTACAGTGACCATTAAGCTAGATTAACAAAATATCAACAAAGAATCCACTGAGCTTAAAAATCATCCAGCGTTATGCAGTCCCTACCTAGAAATGGAATTCTGGCTGCACAAGAGCTGCATCTACTTTTCTGTGTCAACACAAACCACTTTAGACTTCCTAATGTTAAAAGACTAGGTAGAACATGAGAAAGAAAAAGGAAGGGGGGAGATACTGCTTAAAATGCATCTCTGTACAGCAGCAGACATGAAGATTGATTAAGGATCTCCACATATCCTTCCACCAGTGTACCTTTCTACAAGCCTCTGAACACAAAGAACAGATTAAATGCAGCTGAGCATCTGCTGTTGTAAAAGCATGCAAGAGGGTTTTTTTTGTTGTTGTTTGGCATACAGTTTCTCAAATGTTCAGAGCATTTGAGCACCCTGTTTGGAAGCTTAATTGTATAATATGATGTTTATAGAGTTACATAAATCTTTAGCTAACCATGGAGTTACAAATCAGGTCTGCAAACCATTTGCTGTTCAGGCAACTCCTGCTTCTTTGCACAGCTCTCCTACCTTCCAGTAGCCCAGCCTTTCACAGGCAAATCTCTGCCATGTAAGATAGTAGGGGTTGCTTCCAAAATTTGAGTTTGATAATAATTTGGGGGCTCTGAGCACACGGGGGAAGACCATTAGCTGCCAAGGTTGTCAGCTGCTGAATAAAGCATTCAGAAATGCAATATATTAACACTGTGGCTACTGAGGACAGTGAGTGCCACATTTGGATACCCCAACACAGCACACAAGAAGTCACTCTATCAAGAATTGCCAGAACACAGCTCTCAGTGCTTCCAGGCTGCACTCCACACACGTGGAATAATTTATTAAAAACAGACTGTCTTATTATACACACTGGTTATTCTTCAGATAAATCAAATGTTATTTCTGCCAAAAAATATAAATTCATTGGCCAAAAGATAAGCTAAGAAAAAAAAAAAAATAAACCAAAAAACTGCTTGCCAAAAACAGACAAAATTAAGAAAAGAGTCAGTCCTCGCCACAAAGCAACATTTAAAATTCTCTTAGATTTCAGAAGGCTAGGCATCTCCCAAATGTAAAACTCCTTAGCTGTCCCTCCAGCAGCCCAGGCCATTCATCCCCAGAAACAGCTCTGCAAAGATTTCTGGAAAGGTTTTTGAAAGAAAGGGTTTGCTTGCTACTTCAGTGTTGCTTCCTTGTCCTCGCTTAGAGAAATTAGAAACCAAGATCAATCATCAATCTCTGTGTTTGCATGAAGTCATGTGGCTTGCTGGAAGGGAAGAATATCTTCTGCTTGATATTAGGCTGCAAGTCCCAAAACAAAGACGTGTAATGGCAGAAAAGCAGGCAGTCGTATCAATACAGAAGGATTAGTTAATAAGTAAGTAAACCTGGGGAATTTAGTACTCCTATATTCTGGATGCTAGCAAGCAACAATTTTCAGTCCCCTTCCTCCTCATCCTCATCTTAATTTGAAGACTAAAGACAAAGCGCCTGGGATGGGCTGCAGAATGAAAGGCAACGCCAAGGTTACACTTGCTCTAAGTACCATTTCATGTATGTGGAGACCTCCTTGGCAGGTCTCCACAAGAAGATTCAACCTTATATAAGCTACAGACAGTTGAAGTGAGCATACAAATAATCCTAACATATATAGGAAAGGAGGATGGTTAAAACAGTGATCTACTACACCTTTTAAACTTTATGATTATGGGTAAATAGTTTTATGTAGACTTCTCCCTGCTCAAGTGAAGTATTCAAAAATGCTCTGAATTTGAGGCAAAAACACAAGTCATCATCCTAAGCGAAAGGTCAGGGGATTACTCATGCTAAATTGTATGGTTTCCTGGTGAAAAGAAGGTAATGTATAGGTTATCTTCTGCATTTTCATTTCTAGCATTTCAATGCACAAATCAGAATAGCACAGCAGAAAATAATCTTATAAGATTATAATCTTACTATAATCAATAATCTTACAATCAATAGAGAGAAGCAATACAGCAAAGATGTGCAAGTTTAGTGCTAATACCCAAAGGTCAGAACTCAAGTAACTGTACACGTTATCTCGACAGAGATGATACTTGGGTGAACTGATTGGGGGTGGAAAGAGAGAAGGCAAATGCCAAATAATCAAAAAGGGAGCAGAAAAACCTGCATCAGTCAAAATTTAGACAAACTTCTCATGAGAGTTTAACTGTTCTGGTGACTGGATGGAGAAAGTAGGTCAGTAAAAAAAAAAAAACCTCTGGGCTTTCCTTGTTTATTTTTCTTTCCGAGGTGATTACTGATTCAGGGCTTGATTCAATAGGGTTCCTCCATTCATAAAAAAACACACCACACAAGGGAAAAAAACAACACAAACACAAAGAATTGGCAAACAGCAGACCACACAGGTCAGAAGCAGTCTGCAACAAGGAGGTACTTCCATGTATCTTTGCACAACTGACCTTTTCTGCTAACACACTGAATACGAAAATGTACGACTTGGAGGGGAGCTTCCAATTCTCTCTTGGAAGAGAATTATTTTTCCTGTTGTCTAAGCTTCACGGCAACAAATCCTATACAAATCCAAAGCTAGATTTGAAATAGTTTGATGATTTACTGAAAGCACCAGTAACTTTTTACTTTGTAGTTAAAGACAGAATAAAGGGTGTTGTATCGTGGTGGTTTTTTTTTTAATGTTTGTGTCAGAACTAGCAATATCATGCACACACACAAAAAAAATACTGCTGTCACTAAAAGGATTTAGTCTGAAGTCAATTACACATTTTTGAAAGAGGTGATGTTGAAGCTTCAGAAGATAAGCAATACAACTTCATCTAACATTAAAGAGGGAGTATCCACAACCAAAGCCTACACATATGATTGAAAGAGACTAGCACTGCTCCCCATTTTTCCTGCAACTGCTTGTTAGTTTTGATGAAGCTATGATTCATCAGCATGGGGGAAGCAGGGAGAACACCACCAATAATTATAGTCCTCTGTTGTGGTCTTTTTCCACTTTCATATATGCAGCACCCGTGCCAGCAGGCACAGAAGCAGCATCTAAGACACCTGGTGGCAGCAATGTCATAGACTTGACCTATGCTTGAAGAGCCATCCTCACTGAGACATCGATAACAAGGCATTAATAGTGACCTGTGTGCTTGTTGGTACCAAGTTCTAGCATTGTTAAACACAACTGACCTGTAACTAGTCACAATTACAAGCTTCTTCCAAGTCTTCAGCTAGAAAAAAGAAAGTTGGTTTCACAAGGACACTCAGAACAGGCCTATTTCTAATACAGCTATTGCTGTACAGGAAGCAGTCAGTACAGGAATAACTGCATCATGCAAAAACAAAGGGCTTAAACAAAGGAACGCTGCATCAGAGCTGATCTCACTGACTCAGGTAGATATGAAGTCATTCTGCCTCACTTCCTCACGCTGAACAAACAGCAGAAGTGGAATCAGAAGATAAGGAGCGTGTAAATACAACGTGCATCAGGAAAACAGCAGCAGCAAACAAACTTTTGCCCCTCTGCAGGGCAGCAGCAGGTTGGAACATTTCCTCTTTATGTAAGGTGACAAAAAAATTGCAACACTGCCCTCAGAGTTTATCTTTTCGGACAGCAGCACTGGGAGGAATTTGTATTTCCAGCAGTGCCAAAGATGGCACACCAGTGCACTTCGATACCACGCTCACTGGAGACAGAGGTAGGCACGCTGCTTAAAGGCTGGGACAACCAGAAACATCCCAGGTCTCTCCAGAAAAGATACTGATGGAGAAAAGACCCTATACAGCTCCAAAAGAGCTAGAACAGGGCTGGCTGACAGGCTACCAAGATAAGGACGCTGTCTGATTTCTTAGCTTTCCACTTCAATTTTAAGAAACATGGGCATGACCAGGCAGTAAAGCACCAAGCTTTTCCCAGGAAAAATAAAAATAACAAAATCACACCACCTGTGAGGTTGCTCCAGGACTGCCCCGTGTGTAAACACACATTAATACAAGTCTGTGTTACTCCTCTCCCCTCTTTATCTTGCCAGCCTGAATGTTTACAAGCAAAGTAAGCAGGCTGGGTTGAGGAACTGATCCAAGAACCAAATTCTACTTTTGCAGAAAATAATGACAACAAATCGATATACTGCCTAATACCACAGTTTCCTTCAGGAAATCTCAATTATTTCACTTGCACTCTTCACAGTGCAGAATACAGCTACGACAACTACACAGTAGCTTCAGAAAACTTATATTCATACTTTATCAAGTCAATTACGTGTTTTTTCTTTGCTCTCCTCACAACCAATAGGAGGGAAAA